TCCGTCTTTCATTCCTCGTAATTGCGACTTTTTTGTACGCTCCGCTGTGAGGTCTGCGACCCTCGAGAGCAACAGACCCCCGGCAGTTCAGACACGATGCGCTTTTACGAATGATGCGATGGGACACGTCACTGTGATGAAAGTGTCGATTGATCGGCAGCGTGGTAGAGTAATAGAATGTTTCCGAGAGACATGAAATACATGAATACGATACAGAGAACAGAAGTCAGTCGATACAAAGATATGATTGAATTGGATAAGCAGTTTAACTGGCTCTTAGCGTTTTAACTCTTCCCTGTCTATTCAATTAAATTTTTTTATTCCCAGCTAAATCACTTGAAATTCCCATCAATTAGGTATTCTTAAAAAGCGCGTGACATGACTGCCCTCCTAATAAGCATTTCCACGTTCTTAACCCACTATATACCGTCTCTCACAACGTTCGGTAAGAACTTATGCTAATGTTACGTGGCAAAACTGGACGGTGATTGCGGCGAAATGCAAATTATACCCGCGGCGCTATTGCACCTCGGTATCGGCACTTACGCGGACGGTTATTGGTATTTATGTCGTGCCGATTTTTGTCCTCGAACGAGAGTATTGTTAAAAACCGCGCTCACCTCTAATGAAAAATATCCGATTTTTGTAAGACAAGAGCTGTCTGATATTTTTATCAACGCTTCCTTAAAAGTATTATCACTTTTTTAATTTTACAAAGTCAGACTGAAATATATTGCAGATCTGTACTATTCTCGTTTCTAAAATCCACAATTTTTAATGAAGACTGGCGAGATTCGACATATCGGTTTTTTTGTTCAGTTTTAGTTTGCTGCATTTAGTTAAAATTCACGAAATCGCGCGGCTAACTTTCGCTTCAAGCCGGCCAACCCATGTAATTTCTCACGATCGTTTCACAGCTTAATTTTTACGAGGAGGAAATTAGTATGGGCTGTGGCGACCGTTAAAGACTTTTAAACGCCTTCGAAGCAATGGTCGATGGCAATTGACCACAACCCTCGTCGTCGTCCTCTCGGAGACGTTATACGTGGCTATTGTTGCTTGACGGGCGCGAGAGGTAACTAAAAGACGAGACTAATTGTCGACCGTAAAATGACGGTCGCACATCATTGCGTGCGGAATCGACGAGCGAATACAATTATTGAGAATTAAAATTGTTCAAGATTTTTTTTCTTTAGTAAAATAACTCGATCAGCAATACGCTGCAGCAAAAAATCGATTTTTTTCAATGCAATCACACTAGTAATCTTAAATATGTATCTTATCGATGTGTATTTTACTTAAAATAGCATATAGTACAAGTGAATATGTTCAAAATGGGGAACTATCGGAATATCGCGGACGAATAAAGTCGTATCTCTGTGCGATAAGATAGAAGTCAAGAATTGTGATTTCTTCGGTCTCTTTCGTCCGTAAATCTTTTTAAAATACAATCATCTGCTGTCTTCCACTAGACAGATGTTACCTTTTTTAAGTGTCAAATATCTCTCACATACAGATAAGAAGCGATTAATATCCCACGGCGCGCTGCACTTGCCCGTCGCCTGTTCTACGTTCCGATATAAATGGGGCGCATTTATCACCGGATTAATTGATTCATTAAGTCTAGTAGCAGAGGATTTAAATTCCATGAGGAGGGGTCATTGAAACGTTGACGCGCGAGGACGAAGAGTCACAAGTCGCATATAGCGATTCCTATATAATCGTCGTAAGATCGCCGGTAATCAATATACATATACGATAGAAACATGACGTTACATTCCGTGGACCGTGAATTAACTCTCACGCAACAACTTAATGCAGGAATAATCAGCGTACGACATTAACATATTCACAAATCACTGGGTTCTAGAGAAAGTCAGTGGAATGGGGAAATCTTCTGTGCTCGCAATTAATCGAAAAGAGAGATCAAGGGTCAAATATTCCCCCCCTCCCCCGTGAGCGGGAGTCTCTCATTCTCACTTTCGATTTTCTTTTACATTTCAATTCGACGCTGGCGGTTTGTACAGATGTTCGGAGCGCAATTAATTAAGTGCAACTCACACCAATCGCGCAGTAGCATGTAGCACGTACGAGAAAAGAGATTAATCATTGATACATATTTTATACAGGCTGTGACACACTTTGGCATTAAAGACGGTCTTACAGTCTGCGCTATTTTATCCTTCTTATCGCGCGCGGTAGTCTCGGGGACGCGTGGGTTTTCATACAGGAGTCATTCGGTCGTTTCGTTAATTTTTAATGTAAATGTCATAAACCGTTAATTGTCTGCTTCTCCTCCTCTCTCAATTCGTTCGACTTGGCAGGCTAGCGGGAGGTGACTTATGATACGCTCAATACGCGCGGCAGTTATGACATTACGTATTCATTACGCGGAGATAATAATACACCGATGCTGGGCCTGCGGGAGAGCCCAGCGACGAAAGCTTCGGCGAGTAATTAATCCAACTTGGTTTGGCGTCGCGGGCGTATAATGAGGGAGGAACGGATTCGTTATATTTGCTTTTAATTGCATATTTATAACGCGAACGTCTTACGGTCACCGTACCGCGAAATAGCGCTTGCATTATATATCGTGCGTCTCGCGTTTAAGATTAAATTCGTGGAAAAGATAATAAATTTATTTACGCAATGTGAGGACGTGCAATTATTTAGAGTAGATAATCAAATTTGTTAGCGGTCATTTACATTTGGTAATTTTGAAGGCGATAATTATTGATAATTACGCTTGTGTTGCATAAAGCGTATAAAGGTTTACTTAAACTTTTAAAAATCAATCGATCTGTGCAATACATGCATCGCAAAATTTCTCCCGGTGCAACTGGAATTGGGTTAGGTCAAGCGCGGCTGCGAAAATGACGGTGTGCACGCGGCGAGGTGGAAGTCGATCGCGGGGTCCTCCGTAATCGCGCGATAAACGGCGCCGCGCAAAGTATCGGGTTGCGAGAGAAGCACAGCGGGTTTAAACTGATCAGCATGTAAACGCGATCGGTTGCATAATCGCGACTACCGGTTCGCCACATGAAGGTCTAAGGTTGAGAATTGTACGCTTTCCTTATCGGCACCTCGTATCTCCCCGCAACGTTCGGCTTCATTGCTCGGTGAAGAAAAAATGAAAACTTGTGGAGAAATCCTGTTTTGCCAAATTATACTGGCCTCTGATAGAAAGTCACAGGAGTAAAGACAATCCTCTCGCTACACAAATCTCATTTGCACATCGCGCGACCGACCGTCATCGGTGAAAGGTCGGCGCGCGATTGTGAGCGGACGTTAAGCTTGCATTCCGACGATGATAGTTATACTGCCTCACGATTGGAGATCTAATGATTTTCCGAGATATATCGCCGTCGTGCATATAAACGCGTGCGTACGTATAGCTGTCGCGTTAAAGTGACGCGGTGGACCACCAGCCACGACGGCGCGTGTCATCCGTCAAATTACGAGCGACTTGAGCGTTTCTTAAGCTGACGGCGCTGAAAAGTCGACGTATATTGACAATCCACGGCCAGACATGCTACATTCATATCCGTTTTTGAGCGGTCTTAATTATGCCATGACGATATGTAGGATAAGAAATAAATAGGGAACAAACGTGCCGCACAATTCCTGCACTGATTAAAGATATGCTTTTTTTAAGTGATATATAGATATTGTATAAATTATGGTTATATAATTATATTAATATTTTACCGCTTTTATGCGCGTAACATGTGGTTGACAGGCATTTTAAAAAAAAATTCTTACTGTACACGCAAATTATTATCGTTATAAGCTATGGTTTTAATATATTTTTACAAGCTATAGAGATACTTTATAAATTACGATTTTAATATTTCACTGCTTTTATGTAACATTACCGGCGGGAGCTTTGACACAAAAATTTCACGACACGCGAATTATTATCGTGCGTCGAATTCGAGATCGTTTATTTTGTCGGCGGTTTACAGTTCAACATACGGTGTCTGATTGCGCATATAGTATCTAGCCAGATAAAGGCAAAAATAATTCAATTAGCCAATATACATCGGGTCGACCTATAATGCCACTTGTTTTCCGTGACACTAATGCGTCCACTTAAAACCGGACCAATTACTACGATTATTTCTATGCGAGAGAGACCATTTCACGCGGGCATCCAATTCCAGGCCTGTGCGATAACGAGCCTGTGCTGCGGCCGCGTGCACAGAGAAAAAGAGGAAAAAAAAACACGAACGTGCCGTTTATTGCGATGCATATTTTATATACACGAACACGAGGTTGTACGTATAATTTATATTGTTATAACTAAAGCCGAGAGATAATTAACGCGGATTTGTACGATCGCGGCGACGATCCGTAAATCGTGTCCGAATATTGTTGGCTTTTCTCTTTCTCGGGACATTCCGCTAATAAATTGTCCGCAATTTCAGTTTACACGATTAATGATACTTTCTCCCGCCCGGAATAACGCGTCTTCCTCCTTGCGTCGATGCATCCATCTCGTTGCCTCGATGAGGCGCATCGGTGCACCTCTTTCTATGCCGGCGATTTATCCGCGGGCATAGCGGCGGCGGGAGCCCGCATTTACGAGATCGTTTATCGTCCAATCGATCCGGTCCGCAGCTAACGGCCGCGCCGTTAATTCGCTCAATATGTTATCTTGGCAAATTATGCGTCGCGGTAGTTAATAATTATTACGGTCTCGCATGCCTCCGATCTACCCGCGTTGAATCACGCGAGTGTGAAAGTACGCGGGGAATTTGTCGCGCATTGACAAACAAATTCGTATATCAGTTCTTTGAATTAATTTTGATTAATTCGTTTTTCTCCTCAATGTTATTAAAAACTGACAATTTTATTTGTGAATTACATTGATTTACAAAATGTTTTATCTCGTCAAATCCAGAGGCAAAAATTAGAACAGGAAAACTGCAGAGCGAGAAGGAGAGAAAAGCTAAAAGAAATGAGTAATATTTTAAAAAGAAATTACGCGACGGACTTACGAAGAAGAAAAGCTCGACGCGATGAGAGTGCTTCGGCACACAGGTGAGCGTGTCCGATCTGCAGCATCCGGTGTCGTCCGAGCACCTGTGCAATATGACGCAGTGTGGAATGTAGGTGATCGACGAGCTCGGATAGATGTTACCAACCGGAATGACTCTCGCGCGTGGCCACTGGCAGCTGCCTTCCCTGTGGACTTTCCGAGCGTAATCAGCGGCCGCTTGCTGTTCAGCACCTAGGGCAAACATTCGCCGTAGTTAAAGTACAATCCCGTGGGATCTCGTTGTAATTGTGAGAATGATAGGGAACGAAATTGACTAATTCACGCGCACCTTCAATAAAAAAAAAAAATGGGGCTTCACGCTGTAGTCGTCGTTTCCAGGTGTGTAACAATTGTGTGTTTATCTCTTAGAAAGCCGATAGCTATACACCTACTCGGCGGCGGCGATGTTTGATTTGCAACATACGTTTCTTCACGATTCTTTCGATCCCGCAACTTCCCGGGTTGTAAATCTTCGAATTTTGAAACCTTTAAACTTTTCCATTCTCTCGTGACTTTAAGTTATTATAGCTTTCGTAAATAGCCTTTAGAGATTGCGTTGAAGCGGCATTCTCTATATGTTGTAACGAGCCGCAACTAAGTGTCGTCCCTTCATGTAACTCATTAATTACTGTCTCGATAAAACGGGAAGGCGAAAGCGGATAGGTTAGATTAGAGAGGAGCCCTCGGTCTTGTCGAAATGGATCTTCCGTTAATCCTCCAGATCCTGGTTGGTCTGGTACGCTCGAGTTTCAGATGACACACCGGGAAGAGAGGCGAGAATCCATGAGATCGAGACGAGGCATCAGGCGGTTAGTTTGATCCGCGTGAGCGCGGATGCATCGCCTGCATCGAGTGACATAAGTTACTACTGAGAGCTTTCTATTGATTCAGCACGGAGATAGCTAATCGCTTTCTACGCGCGTTTCACGCGCTGTCGATAATTACGGCGACATCGTCACTCCGCATATAATTCGCTTGAGCGCACGGTGAAACTGCATTGTAGCAGGAAATTGGTAAATTCTAGCGCAAATAATAACAATGGAGAAACGTTCATGCGGTACGGAAAGGAATTCAAATGCGGTGTTGAGCCACTTAAAGCGAATTCGCCGTTCGCGAGGTCGCGCGCGGGTCACGAGATCGGTCGCTAAATGATTAGAAGGAGAGAAAGTACGCACTCGGTTGTCCACGCGCGTCCATGTACTGTCCATCGCGTCGCATTTAATGCCTATATTTCTGCAGCCGTTTCACTTCCAGGATTAACGCGTAATGAAGAAGCCCCACGAGAGACGATGACGAGGTATTTTTAGAGAGAGATACGGTAACTCTGAGTTACGGATTTACGATCGTTTGCGACGAAACGCAGCTCGATTGCGCGTTGTACGCGAATGACGGTGTTAATCGGATCAAATTTGCTCAGTCGCGCGTTTTACGAGTACCATGCACGGACGCGAGCTGAGGCGCCATGTCGTTTCTAATCGAAAATTATTGCGAATACCAATTGTTTATGCTCGGCGCCGACTTATCTCCCCATTAAAGTGTCGTTCGTCACGTCGGATGGTGGATTAATTTATTGGTCGTTGCAGAAATTGACCACGTGGAAGGTTGCGATATGGATACGTTGGCTCGCAATCACTGTGAAACTATTGATCTTGGTGATCTTTGGTATTGGGAAACTACAATCTCTCCGGGTCATCGCGGACAGTAAAAAAGGAATAAAAGAAGATATTATTCTAACGAGAAAAAAACCGATTTAGATATATTACATTTAGAGAGATTGGAAAATATAATTATAGTAGTTAGATGATAGATTCGCTGGCTCGAACAACTTTCTCGTTCGACATGCGTTTGTCGCTCGCACGAGAAACCCGGCTAGGTATAGAGATGATTTCGATGGAGATTTCGGAAGTGTAGTTTCGCGGAATTTTTTGCCCGTCTAATATCGACCCTCAAGGATCGATCGCGATATGCTAATTTCCGACGTAGGCGTTACTCTCGGCACGGAAGATCACATCGGCGTGCTCACAATGGAGGCACGGCCGCCAGGTATTCTGAAGTATGTGCTCTCACCGCGCGTATCATCCCGTATTCAAACGTATTCCGGAATATATTATGAGAGAAAGGGATTTATAGATTCGATCGTCCAATTTCTATTCTTCAATTTTTCGAGTAAATACGTCGCGATATAATGTACAATAGGTACCATGCATATTTATTAATGACGCAGATAGAAAACTGGCAAAATCAAGCTTGTCGATGTTTTACTCCTTCTGCGGCCGGTTCGGTTGGTTTTGTACAAATTTAAACTCTGACTCAGCACGAAAGTATTTAATCAACCGGTGCCACACAAGGCACACAGTAGCATATCCAACGAGTGTATATCATGTCATAAATATGCAGGATTACGCGAGCTAACGGAATGTGATGTCATCAATGTGACATCATGACGCTACGCTTTCTACGAAAGCTTTACGCATTCTACATTTATCTTATCGCGCACATCATCGTAATTATAATTCTCTTGCTAAAATTGTAAAATAGAAATTCAATATTACGGACAGAAGAGATTTTATTTGATAAATATTAAAATTTCCAGACACATCCGGACGGAAGACGGGAGAAGACGACGTGGTGCAGAAAGGACGAGCGGGATTTCGTCGGGCGAGAGGAGGCGGGGTCGCTGTCGTCCGGTGAGTGATAATAAATCGATTTCAATCCACGGGGGCTATGAATCAAGCTCCGACAATCCCGCGGCGTGCACGTGCGCGCATCGATGCGTTGCGCACACGACGACGACGCCACACGGGAGTTCACGCAGTGGTTGCCGCAACCATCACGGATACTCGATCGGAAGGGCGGAGGGGAGCGTACACACAATCGTCGTTATTAATTTACATATTAATAGTCTGCGAACTCCGTCGCGCGTTTCTCGCGGAATTCCGTTCTCCATGCGACCGGAGCGTTGCCCCCGCCGCGTCGGGATTCGATTCGAAAGGCGATCGCGAGGGAAGAGGCGATCGCGCAATCGGATGTAATTAGCGGCAAAAAGCAATCGAGGATAAATAGAGACTCGAGGAGACTTTTAGCCTTGCGATATAATAGGTTTATGAAGCGTAATAATAAAGAAACAGAATTAGAAGAAAAAAGAATTAATAAGGGAAGTATTACTTGGGAAATATTACAAAAGTATACATTTATCTTGTTTTTTTTTCCGACGTAAATATCGCGTTTTATAGCGGCTGTTTTTATGATGTAGTCCGCTCGTTTATATAAAAGAGAAGCCGATGAGAAGGAAGAGTCATCTTTACCGGGGGCTCTCTCTTTCTCTTGTCTCCACTCGGACGTCGATGTGTGAATGGCGCTTGTGCAATCGCATCGACGGAGAAGGTGCAACGCCTCGAGGCATAAATAGAGGCGTGCGCCTGGGAGTCGTATCGCAATCGTAATATAGCACGGGCGAATTTATATTACGTGTTGCGGCGGGTAATTATAAAAACCTTCATTACACCAACTCTCAGACGGTCTCTCAGCGACGCGATATATTACGCTCCTCTATTAACAATGTAACATTGTCGATCTTGAAATACGCGCTCCCCTTCGCGTCGAGAGAGTTCGCGGATATGCATATATGTATGTCCGATCACGATCCAGCGTGGTTACCAATTGATTTATGCGCGCCGCTATACGGTTTCATAATTGCGGCAGATCGCTACTACATCGTGTACGCCTGATTGCCGCGAACGCGAATACGTTCCCGCGTGCATCATCCCGTGTGCGCGGATCCCGTGCAACGTATTAGATATAGGTGGATATGCGCGCGTTGTGCACGGTTTTGCACAAACATTTGCGTATGACGCACGCACGCGCGATGAAAGGTACGTCGATAATTACCGCGGCATCTCCGACGTACGAGAAATATTGCTGTGTTATTAACGTTGATCGAACACCGCCACCAGGAAGGGACCACCGGCGTGGTTTCAATAACGATTAATAACTATTTCGGAGCGCGCGAGGGAGGGGGCTGTTAAAATTAATTGAGTCAGGTCAGGCAGGCGAAAATGTAGAACGACGTTACGCACATTTGCATAAACCGATTGCGATAGGAATCGCGATCGCTTACAAAACGGCTCTTTTAATACGCCTCACCGCCCGCATATTTTTTTTCTTTCGCCGTAATAAAGATGTCGTATAGGAAGAAAAACGTCGTGAGAGCCATCGAGATGCACTCGACAATCTGAAGCGCACTTACTCTTTCCGTTTTTGTTGTACTGCTGCATGTTGCTTCTGGTCTCTTTGACGCCCTCGTGAGTGCCGAGCGTCTGCCACTTTTCAGCGCTGTAAGCAGACATCGGCGGATAGTCGTTTTTCGCTTGGTACCCGTTATACTGCGCCCCGGTGCCGCTATTGTAGGCTCTCGGGTCCTTGTAATCGTACTGCTGCCCGAGCGACGGCTTCGGCGTCACCGTCGTCTTAGTTGTCGTCGTAGTGGTTGTGGTAGTAGTCGGCGTGGTGAAGGTATCGACCTCGTCCTCCCCGCCGTTGTCGTCATCGGTGTAATCCTGCGCACGTAACAGCACATTGCGATTTAGGGAACTAAATAATATATATATATTTATAATTACAGACAAATAAGAGACTATAAATTATAGACGAATATAATAAAGATATAATCGGATTCTTAATTTAAAATTTAATTATCGTGTTAATTGGAGGAATTCTCGCATATAGACCTCTTCCGTTTATCCGGCGATCGAAAGAGGAAGCGGGATGCCATGAGATCGATATATGAATATGATGAGAAAAAATTAATGTTCTATGTGGAGCAAGAGGGAGGCATCGATAATGTATACACAGAAAGAACAATTTTGCTGAGTTCAGATCTGAAAATAATTTTTGTTCAATAGGGTAACTGTCCCTACTAGTGTGCTTTTATATTTAAATAAACCGTAAAAATAAACTGGTACAAATAAATAGAAAAAGTAATTTTTTTTATTAAGTTAAAGTATTAACTTAATAAAAAAATACTTTGTTTATTTATTTTTACGGTTTATTTAAATATAAAAGCTAAAGTATTAACTTAATAAAAAAAAATACTTTGTCTATTTATTTGTACCAGTGTATTTTTATGACTTATTTAAATATAAAAGCACCTTAATAGGGACAGTTACCCTAATCAAAATAATTTTGTGCGAAAGTCAAAACGTTTTATAACAATGTTTATCAGTTTTAACATTCCAACAAATTATTTTGATAATTCAACAAAAAATTATTTTCAGATCTGTTTTTAGCAAAATTTTTAGACCTTTCAACAAAATCGTTCTTTCCGTTTAAAAATTCATCCGCGAGATGATCTCCCATTTGCTCGTGGGTGGTCAACACGCCCTCCTGAGTCCTGAATCCTCGGTAGATTTTCTCTTGAAGATAAGTTTAATAGGCAAATTTGCATCTCTCCGTGTCGCGCGTGCGCACCTTCTCCTCGCCTCGTCCTGGCCGATCCGCGAGCTCAAAGAGAAGCGGGGACCTACTTAATCGTCGTCTGCAACATCTGGAGTCTTTGATGTCGCGCCGCGTAGCAGAAACAATCCTCACGAATGCGTGCGCTGAATCTAGGAAGTATTTTATCCCCGGCGGAACTCTCGAATCTTCGCGCTCGCGCGTCTTCCGTTTTATCAGCGAATCGCTCGAACGTTCCAGAAATCTGGACGTGGACCACGTCACGTTGATGTGATGGAATTAGAAGCTTATTATTAGAAGCTTAAACGAAAACGAAACTGACTTCGCTGAAACTTAAACTATTATAAAACCTGACAAAAACGTGAACAGTATTTATGAAATATCCGTTTTCAACTTGAATAGCTTAGATTTATGATTATTTTTTGAAGAGGGAAATATGTCACATTATCGATTCTGGTTCAATGGTTTCGATTCCTATACGACGCGAGAGAGATGAGATTTTAACGCGAATGAATTAATCTGTCTCTTGAATGAATAGCTTGTACAAAACAGCCTATTACTCGGCAATTGATGAATCGAATGTTACGCAAACGTTTACCGTGTTTATCGTGTTTCAATCACGAATCTGGCCGTTCCTGCCATTGATTGAGATGTCGATTTCTATAAAGGGATTTATTTCACTAACACACGGAAAGAACAATTTTGCTGAATCCAGATCTGAAAATAATTTTTGTTCAATAATCAAAATAATTTTGTGCGAAAGTCAAAGTGATTGCTAGAATATCAAAACGTTTTATAGCAATGCTTATCAATTTTAACATTCCAACAAATTATTTTCAGATCTGTTTTTAGCAAAATTTTTAGATCTTTCAACAAAATCGTTCTTTCCATGTGGAGAACTTGCGATTGTCGAAGACGCCTGGCAACATGCCTGAGTTACTGAACCAGCGGGACAGTAGTTCAGGAATTTACAGATGTTTCTTTGTTCCTTGCAACCTTCACGGGTTGTGCAACATGTGGCTCTAACGATGAAAGATGAACCATTTCAAAATTTTCTGCAGGGATGACTGATGATCCGCATTGTCGGAATTTGTCGAACTCAGATGTATACATTGGATATACACATGTTACACACACGTTCAGATACATCTGTTATTGTGAATGATAGAACAATGAATATTTAAAGAAAACTGGAAGAAAGATATAGTCTAATTTAAAAAAAAAATCCATGTATTACATTTGACAGATGGAGTAGAATAATAAAAGTTAAAATTCATTTTTTGTTTATATCTCTCAGTTTAAAAAAATGTTTTAAAATTTCTGTTGCACGCCGTTGAAAACGTTGCACAGATAGGAACAATTTTATTATTAACGTACTGCAATCATATGTGTATATCGTTATTGATTAATTTCTAAAAGCTTTTCTGAATATCGTAAAGATTTGTTATTACATATCAAGTCCCATATCAAGTATTGAATATCTTTGTTAATTTTAAATGATAAAAGTGGAATGTGCTTGTAAAATCAAAGGAAAAATTTATTCTACTCAGGTTATTCAAAGATCGAGCAGCCAGGCGATGGCGGCTTATTTCAACTTGGCTTTTATGAGACGTTAGAATAGAAACTGCGTGGGGACTCGAAGATTTACCATAAAAGATCTGCCAGACTCTTTGATCTCGGCTCGCAGAAAGCGGATTAGACCGTCGATAAATTTAAGTATATCAGGTATATCCCGACGTGTGTGCATGTGTGTGCCACGCTATCGTTGGCGATCCCGAAGGAATCAGGGTCGGCGAAAGGTCAGCCGGTCCTCGGTTTAAAAATGGACTCGCGGTTCCTCTGAATCTCGCCTCTAGATATGGCCGGTGCCGCCTGCGAAAATCAAGTCTCTAATTTCTAAATCTCTCGTCAAAATTTACTGTTTTTTATTCTCTGAAGTTTTTTTCCCCTTAACATTTATGGTGTCTTTATAGTCTTATCTACGTCTCGAAACGTTCATTCATTTAATAGTTTACTTAGTTTGAATGTTAATGCGAATCTGAAATTATGCGCGATTGTCACACAGTTTCCTGCATAGATATACCTAAAAGCATTAATTTTTATAGTGGAGGAACACTCAACCGCGATTACTCATTACGGCCATTACTCTGCATTAAAGTGCACTGTATTTACGGCGCGATAAAGATAACCTTGGCAGGGGTATACTTTTTACACGTTACTTGTTACGGGACATGCACGATCGCCCCCGATGATTCTCGGAATTGAGTGGTCCGGGCTTTACGAGCGACAAGGGTCAAGGGTCGCCCGGCATCTCTGATCGTCGTCGCTGAGAATTCGTCTGTCCGCGGCGTACGCGGAATAACGAGGTTGCGAAAATTCTGCGATAAGGCCCGCCGGGGTCGTCGACATCGTTGTTTATTCTATTTTCAGGCGAGCTCAAGGATTTCGTTGGTATTATAGCACGCTCGCGAACCGATAACCGATAGCTCGGCCATTGTAAACTAGACCACTTCTGCGATAGCGTAGGGAAATTTTTCCCATTTCACCATTCGCCGGCGAGTAATCGCTCTATTTACGCCACGGATAATTGAATTTCGTTGCATATTATACGTATCTGTCTTATATTGTTGTGTCACTTCTGCGAACTTCTCGATAACGTATAATGACGCAATCTTTTCGGAATCGGCTATTTATTAACCTTTTGTTCTCTCCAGCGCAATATTGAGTAATCTCATCAGTTTTCGAATTCCATTGCTTTGTACGTGTGCGTTCGCATAATGTAAGTGCAGCACAATTCGTTATAAGATAAAAGTCTTTTACGTCGCAGCTCGTTAGAGACATTATCGTACATTGTCGCTTTTATTTCAATAAAAGTGTAAGATTCGACGTGAATCGCTGTTTACGTGTAGACCGGATGATATATGTATTCCAGACAGAAAAAGCTCGTCGTGCTGAAAAGATTGAATGAGTCTTCAACACACGTATTGTCGTTTAGAAGCTCGTTATACACTAACATTTTCGACACCCTATGTAAACTTTTACGAGGCTACTTGCAATTGAATATGTATGTAAGCTGGTATGCAGTAGGAATTTTCATGCGATCGTATTTTACATTCCGGTTTATGTGCGCATAGACGAGAAAAATACGGTGGGACGTAAATTATTGGAAAATTTATTGCAATTCAAATGAAACTTCTATCAATTTGCCGTTCCTCCTACATTTCAAGCAGATTGCAATATCGAGAGAAATAATCTTGTCAAAAATGTCTGCAACGTAAAAAAAATCTCTAATGAGATTTAATTACAAATAGTTAAATGTGTCAAGAGGAATGCAGATGTAACTCGCGTTCGCGTATGCGGTACCACAAAGTACTCCTAAACCCACGCAACACGCGCTTTACTTACCGCACTGTCCATTACGTTATTACGTGTTAATTATTCGAATGCTGTGCACACGGCGACGGCGATCAGGTAGCACGAAGTGCCTGCCACAATGTTTGCGTGCCCGCGGGCTGGAGAGCGGGTTTACCGAGTAAACGTTGGCGATAAAAAGAGCCGATCGTACGCGGAGCGCTGGTAATTTCCAGTCAGTCCGTATGACGAATGCAGTTACAAATTAGAGCAAGGAATAGCTGGAAGTATAAAAACCTGCGAGGTTGGGAAGGGACGAGGAGGCGGTTCTCGGGGCATCCCTGAAAAATGCAGCTCGCGGCAACGCGCCGGGCATTTAAGAAATATTAGTGCAAATTTGGGGCACCTCCTGTTATTAAATATTGGACTCGCCCCATCGTACGCGGCTACATGAGACCACATGGGACCACCCAAAATTTCTATGGTCCAACAGGGTGGGCGTATTCCCTAGATCGTAAGAATTTCCTTTATGGAAATGTTTTAGAGAGGATTCCTCCGTTTCGTATGTCGGATTTGCAAAACGTATTCGGCTATTAGGTTTAAAATCATGCATTATGATTTCTACGAGGAAAGGAACTTGCAAGAGAAACCAGTTGTAAGCGTAATATATTTATACAAATTTCACTTATACAAATATATTTATATGAATATATAATAGTGATATATTTCTATAAATTTTTATAAATATCTATCT